TATAGTTGTACCAATGGTTGCTCTTATTTGGGAGATTTCTGTAATACAGGAATTGTCTAGTACCTTTTGTTTTTCCTTTTGCCACATGGAATTCACTTAACAGATAAATTCAATTACAGACTTTAATTCAAAAATGGAAATAAAAATCACCATGAAAGTAATCCTGTGAAAATACACACCTTCAGTGTGTACTGCAATACAGTTTATTGAAAAATAAAGGTTGGTTCCTTGAAGAATATAAAATATGTAATCCTCAGTAATCCAAAATGTAATTTTCTACTAAAGTTTGTTCCAAGAAGAAAATTCTAGTATTTTTAAGTGTTCACTGATTTAATGAAAAGAAAATGGAAATGTTTGAACAACTTGTCATTTTACAGAAAACATTTACAGACATCATTTGATTTTCTTTTTAATCTGTATTATAATGACAGCAAGAGCGTTATTAAGCCTTTTCTCCATTTTACTAAATGTGAGTCATATTTTCAGTAACAAAATATGCAGCAAAAAAATGGGTGCGAGTAGACTTATCAAACACAAGAAACCTGTATGTTACCAAAAAAAAAAGTTTTCGAATAAAAAGGATTTGGAGTTGAAAAGTAGTATGAAAAAAAATAAAAATACTTTGGTGAAAAGCATCCACGGCTCATACATAGAAGCATTCATTTTTAAATATCCTAATACAACAAACAACCTTAAAGGGGACCTGTTATGCTAATTTCCAGTCTATATATTTTTATTCTGGGATTGCACTTGAGCACCTTTGCATAATGCACAGTTCTAAAAAAATAAATCATAATTTATCTAATACTGGCAGGTCCCTCAGTTCATAGCTCCTGTTTCTTTAAGGTCCCCCACCCTAAAATTCCACTTTCTTCTGATTGGCCAACTTCCGGTAGCCTACCTGGGGTGAGCAACCAGTGCTTGCTGCTGTGCTCGGCGGCATATACGACAGCTACAGTAATTTAGCCAGAAAAGGAGAATTTGATTAAAGTTTTTCTGGGGGCCGGGCCTCATTGATTACTGTACAGAAATGCTCAACTTTTTAAACTTTAATAACTTATTTTGGTGAAGCTGAATTCAATTATATGGAGAACATATTTTCTGGTTTTCTTTTTGATGTCCTCCAGTTTCAGCTTTCAGTGATTAACAGAGTTTCCCGGTGGACAGATAGCTTTACCTGTCATTAGTGGTCAGCTACTGTAGCTGTTAACAACTGCTAACTGTAGGTGCCATTAGCTAATTGCTCTGATCAGGCAAAGTCAACAAATAGGACGGATAGGTGCATGGCTAACTGAGCTAACTAGCTAACAGCAGTTTCACTTAGCAGCAGTTAGTGGTTCGCTACTTTAGCAACAAGCTGTCTGTCCATCAGAAAGAGAGTTGAGGCAGAGCAGCTGGAAACATTTTTGCTCAAAAGGATTACTTTTACAAATGTTTTTTTCATTATTTAATACTTTGGCCATTTAATATGAACATCTGTAATTATATAACATGATATATATGAGAGAAAATAAGGGAAAGTATAATAGGTCCCCTCTAAATTCTCTGATGCTCCCAAAACTTCCCTTGTTTTACAGATCTGTCATGTGTTTGCGTTGATGTGATTTTAAATGATCCAGGCGTTTGAAGCTGAGGCCACAGACAGTGCAGCAGTATGGTCGTTCCCCTGTATGGGTACGCTGGTGAACCTTCAATATGTCCGCCCTTGTGAAGCTCTTGTCACACATGGTGCAGCGATGAGGTTTTTCCTGTGTGTGAATTCTCCGGTGCAACTTCAGATTCCAGAGACGGCTGAACTTGTTTCCACAAACAGTGCAGCAGTACGGTTTGTCACCTGTTTGGCCACACTTGTGTGTCTTTAGGTCAGAGAAAGAAGGGAAACCTTTACCGCAATGGCTACAGAGGTGAAGCCCCTGCCCCGAGTGAATCCTCTGGTGGACTTTGAGGTTACAGGCTTGAGTGAAGGTCTTTCCGCACTGGTTGCAGGAGTATGGCGGCACCTGTCCGGTGCCCTTGTGCGTCTGCTTGTGGGCCTTTAGTGAAGCAGAATCGGGGAAGGACATGGAGCACTGGTTACAGATGTGTCTTCTCCCTCCTCTCCCTCCTGCCTGATGCTGCAACCTCTCACCCAGGTTTAAAGTACCAGTGTATGCATTTGAGGGCCCATACATGTGCTCTGTGCTGTCAAAAGATGGGTCAATGCGAATACCCTGGCCCCGGAGGCTCAACTTGCTGCCTGATTCACCAGACACATGTTCAGGGTACAAGATACTCGGGTCCTGTAGATACCCTTCTTCATTGATCAATAAACAGCTGAACCCTCCACTTACATCAATGTTAGTCCTTGAGGGTGAGCCTGCAGGTGAACCGACTGTGCCCCTTCTATTCCTTGGGGCACCTGCTTGGTAAACTTGATGCTCGGCTCCTTCTGCTTCCACATCCCCCTCATAGTGCCCCATGTAACTCAGATCCTCACCCAGGTGGGATGGTGACCCTTGTAACTCATCCAAGTTACCCATGTCTATCATACTGCCGTCTCCATAGCCAGTCTTGTCAAAGCCACCCAAGTCCTCCATACCATACCTGTTCTGGAAAAGTGGTTCAGATGGGTCACTTGAGTGTCCATCTTGGCCTGATTGTGGCCTCTGGTCAAAGCCAACTTCCCAGTTCATATGGCACTTTGGGCTCTTCTGTTCACTGTAACGCTTACTGGGCCCCGGCAGACCTGATGCCTCTGTTTCTGACCAATGAGAGGAAAATATTTTCAAGCAGTAATACATGGTTACATGAACTACAATGACACAGTTACAACATAAACACTGAAATGTTCATGGTCTGGTTTAAAACCTTTCAATAAACAAGTACTGTATAAATTACTATATACTCACATGGAACTGATAATTAGTGAGATATTAATATGCATACAACTCCCTTGAAACAATAGATTTTCTAAATCTGACTGAAGAGACTGACCCTCCAAATTGACTCCCCATCGCTCTTGGGACTCATTTGTTTCTGGTGTGATTCGAAGGGCTTCCTCCTTGAGTAGTCTATCCAGCTTTTCACCCTGTACACCTGGAGACTGGCACACAAGCAGAAGGGCACCATTAATACAGTAAGTGTAACTCTACTCACCACAAGAGAAACCATAAGCTTGGCATTACATCAACACTCACTGAACCATTACACAAAAAATAAAAAATACTTGAAATATTACAGAGATTGCTTGACTCCTGAGAAGTGTACAATAATGGAAAACACATTTTTTAAACATTTAAACCTAATTCATTTGTAGAAATAAAGCACAAATAGTGTAATAAAATGTCCTCTACCTGTGGTGCCTTCACGGCACTGTGGTCCTCTTCTGCTTCATGACTAGGTGTCTCTCCGTCAGTGCCCTGGGAGCTATTCATCTCTTCTTGCAGCACACACTCCTGTTTAAGACTTTTCTCTGTAGCAGAAGATAGGGGGAAATGTTACTTTTTTCACTTTAAGATACTTAGCTGCTATAATTTATATTCTTATAATAACAATGGATCAAATTGAATTGATCGTTATGACTTCACATTATGCATAAGATAGATAGATACTTTATTAATTAAAATAATACCCCTATTGGAGAAATTCTTCCTTTTATACAAACACACACACGCTGAAATGCACACTCATGCACATGCAAACAGGGAGAGAGATGGTGGAGTGATGGGCTGCCACATTAGCAGCATCCCATGAGCAGCTCCTTGGGGTTAGGTTGCCTTGCTCAAGGGCACCTCTGCAGTGCACAGGAGGTGAAGCTGGCACCTCATCAGCTACCAGTCCACACTCCATACTGTGGGACTTATAAAACACTGACTGGGACAGCTTTAGGGCTGTTGCAGAGGACCTTTGTTGACTTAATCCAATGGGAATTCACAACGGAGCAGGCCTGCATTTAGTCACCCAACGTTACATCACAAAATTCATACAGGGAATTAATGATACATGAGTAACAGCAGAGAGACTCACTCACCTGTCGCTCTGGGTTCTTCCTCACCGGACACCCCGACTCTTCCGCAGTCCATACACCTCCCCCTCATGTCTCCCTCTCTTTCTTTGCGTCGACTCTCTGACCACTTCAGTCGCCTCTTCAGGGACTCGACCTGCTCCCTGCACCTCGTTACCTCTTCCAAAAAACTGTCCTCCACCAGCCGGGTGATCTCATACATGGCAGCTTTGAAGACAGTTTCCATGACACCAGACAGTTGGGACTGAAACGTTACTATAGCCTCGGCCATTACGCCAACAACGTGTGATCACTCTGGACGGTCTGGTGTTTTATTTTCAGTAAACTGAGGAGGAAACTTTCGATTGGCTCTTAAAGTAGAGTGGCATTTGTCGGGCACAGCTAACGACGGTGTCTCTAAACTGGCTGTGACACTTTCTTAAACTCGGTTTTCAGTGTATGTAACGTTAAACAGACTGTACGCATGTATTGGTTGTTTTAAATGTACTGCTCGGTTACGTCCATCACACTGAACTTAATGTTAAACAAACAAAAGGTCGCTTGTAATGCCAACGTTAGCTAACTAGCTTGCAGCACTAGTTTTGATTCAGAGTTAACGGTACACAGTCCGACCACTATGTCGTTACATAATACATTGACCATATTTTACATGCATATAGTTTATGGTCAGTGCAAGGTGGCTTTTGGTAGCAAGAGTAATTCGACTGCTTCGCTGTAATCTAACGTTACAAATTGTTTCCGTTGAGCTATCGCATTTCCTCCTGATTCCGTAAACAACTGCACTTCCGAGATTTAGAGTACAGGTCGTGCGTTGGGACAATCTTCATCGTTTCAGCTGTATAAAAAGAATAAAAAGAATGACGCCTTCTGGTCCAGAATGATGTACCGCGTATTGGTGATAATTAATGACTCAAACACGTAACGTTACCGGTTTGTTGTTTCCTTACTAATTGCAATATATATATATAAAGTTGGGGATTTAACTGGACCACCGGATATGAGGCTCGACTTCCTCTTCGTCGATGTGCGTCACACAAAGCGAAGCCCGCGGCGTCCGGGGAAGAAGCCATGTTGAACCAGCTCCTTGTTTTTTAATAACTCTAACGATACAGTTAATTTACTGTCAAAAGTGGATTCAAATCGAAAGCCGAACGGACGGTGAACCATAAAAATGTCAGCGGACGATTTTCAGACGAAGTACGCCTCTGTCATGGAGAGCATGCTGAAGAGTGCTGTGGCAGAGACCACGAAACTTTTCGAAACTATGGTCGACGAGCTGAAAGCAGAAATATCCAGAATCAAGAAGGAGAACGAGGACCTCAAAACAAGATGCAGCCAGTTTGAGAGTGCGAGAAGCCAGCCGGCTGTCGACACCAGAGAAAGTGATCCTCTTCCAGGGCGAAGCGACGGCTCTAAGAAACGCGACAGAGCTGTTCAGTGTGGTGAGTTACCCGCCATAAGCTCAGTAATCTTCACCCATATAACGGACTGATAATGCTGTGTGAGGTTTGTGCTGTGCTGCCGAAATTATGAGTGTGGCCGTGTTATATGCGGTACACATTACACCTCCTGTCTATTGATCTATCAGTGACGTTAGCTTAGCCTAGCTTAGTCTTTTTCTCATCACGTGGTTTTGCCCGTTCTCTATAACGAGGGAAACCATACAATGCAATCCTGGCCCGACGCTAGAGGTACTCTAGCTACTGCACACTACATGCTCAGTCAGTACACTGTATACAGACCACTGAATGAATGCCGACTGTTCACACTGGAGAATATTCAACCATACTGTATCACATGGCTGTATCAATCACAACAAGCTGTGGAGATAGGTCTGTCTATAGAAATAACACATTTAAACAATAATTTACCGTTACAGTGAATGTAATAAATTCCAGTATTATTTCAGGCAAAATAACATAAAAAAGGAGGGATATGAGAGCACCAAATGGTATTGTTTGTGGTTCACGTTTGATTAAAAGAGTAAAGAATTAAGTTAAATATTACTATCACAGATGGAGTGAGCAATATTAGCAGCTACTGTCTGTATATTTTACTGAGAAGCAGAAGAGGAGGCTATCTTAGCATTTGTCTCTGGCTCTGTATCTGTATCTTATCTACCTAAACCAATGCTTAACTGAATAGAATAAATATGAAACAGTATATAGAAATGTTGCTGAAGTCGTCTGCTTTGGCTGCAGTGGTCTGTGGGGCAACAGGGGTCTGTGAGCGGACCGGTCGGGTGGCGAGAAGCCCCTCTGATCTTCTGGAGCTTCTCAACTCTGGAAAAATGTTAGCACTATCTTAAATTGCCATCAGTTTTCGTAAATATTGCCAAAAGTGAATTTTGTGATAAAATGACTAAAGGAACCTGGCTAAAACCGTCTGCGTCGCGGCACACCCGTCGCTATGGGCGGGCCATAGGGGGCCGGGCCCGCCCCCAAAAATGCTTGTGCCCCCCCACTTCTTTAAAAAAAATTAATTTTATATTATCATAGTTGCTAATTTTGTGTTGCATTAATGTTGCATTATTTATCATTAAAACGTTAAAAATATAAAGAAACAATGGTGTGATTTTGTTTGATTGATGGGAATCTACACTGCAACAGCCTATCACTGCCTTACTGAAAAGAAAGTTTGGCTACGTATGTGACGTAGCCTACGTCAATGTAGCCGCTCAACAGTTACCCGCGCATTTTTTGAAACCTGGATGAGTTTTCGTTCGCTTACTATTTCATTCATTCTTCGTCATGGATATCTGTAAGTGGTTGAAAAGCCCACCAACAGTCTCTTCTGCCAAATTGGATATGACACCGACGCCTCCTGATGTTGTCGTTGGAGAAGGAGACCCTGGGCGACAGTCTGAGCCCGATGCTAGTAGCTCCGTAGAGCCCGACCCTGGGCCTGGCAGGACCTGCAGGTCAAGTACAACCGTGACTGGGGCAGTATTTGGGCCACAACTGCCTGTTGAATCAGTGGGTGTGAGTGACCTCAGCACGGACAAACCCAAACAGGTTGTGTTGAAGAAATATCCAGTCAAAATGTTTGGTTCAAAAAAACGATCATTTTCCTCTAGCTGGTATTTGAACAGGGACTGGCTTGAGTACGGTGGAAAAGGACTCCGCATTTTGTTATGCCTGCAGGAAATTCAAATCTGTATCATCGGACGCGACCTTCTCCATTAAGGGATTTAATGATTGGAAACATGCAATTGAAACAGGCAAGGGCTTAAATAAGCATGCAGCTTCAAAAGAACATTTAGCCTGTGAAGCAATGTGGAGAGATTCAGAAAAACGTAGAGAGACAGGAAAAGAGATTTCCACTCTCTTAAATTCAGAGCAACTGGCTCGCAACAGATACATGTCAGCCGTAATTGATATGCTGGAGTTTTTAGTGGTAAATCAATTGCCGTTACGTGGAGATAATGCTGGTTTTGCCAGTGTGCTAAATGATAATAGCTCCATGGGGCTGTTCTTGTCTCTCTTCGAGTACACCATGCGCAAAGATCCAGAACTGACAAGGATT